GGAATCAACGCTCTATGCTGTCGCTGGCCTCGAGGTCTCCTGTATGCCTTCCCTGCACTTCCACTGATTCCAAAGGTGGTCCAGAAGCTTCTAGAAGAGAAAGCGGAACTATTGTTGGTGCACCATACTGGCCCAGACGTCTGTGGTCCACGGATCTCAGGGATCTATCAATAACAGACCCATGAAGAATTCCGCCGGACAGTCTTGCTCACACAGGGTCTAATTCAACATCCAGATGCACAATGGCTGCACCTTGCCGTATGGCGCTTGAGCGGAGACGTCTGAAAGGTGAGAAGCTCTCCAATAAAGTCATCTCTATGATCCAAGTGGCCAAACATCCTTCAACGAACTGTATATACAACGCCACCTGGAACATCTTCTGCAGGTGGTGTGATAAGGTGAGAATAGACCCCAACTCTCCATCGGCTCAAATACTGGACTTTCTCCAAGAAGGTTTAGACAAAGGACTCTCACCAAACACTTTGCGTAGACAGGTGGCAGCCTTAGCATCAGTCATTCCCTGTGGGGACCTATGATCCCTTGCTCATTACCCGAGGATATGCAGCTTCCTCCGTGGGGCCACTAATCTGAGACCTCCAGTGCTCCATGGATACCCCACCTGGGATCTAAAAAGGGTTCTCACAGCACTCACAAAACAACCTTTTGAGCCTCTGAGAATCATGAGTCTCCACCTACTTACATACAAGGTAGTGTTCTTAGTAGTAGCGATAACATCTTCAAGACAAATTTCTGAGCTAGCCGCCCTGTCACTGAGACAAGACTTCTACATTTTCCATTCTGACAGAGCTGTCCTTCGTTTAGATCCAATCTTTGTTCCCAAAATTAAATCGGCCTTCTACAAAGCACAGGAGTTGATACTCCCCAACTTCTGTCCTAGACCATCTCACAGTCTAGAGTGACAATGGCATCTATTAGATGTACAACATGCACTCCAAATCTACATAGACAGGACTGCATCTTTTAGGAAGATGAGGTGCTCTTCGTCTCCTTTCAACCTTCTACTCAAGGAAGGAAGGTCACATCATCAACAGTTGGCAGGTGGCTGTGAGCCACGATTGCAAACACTTATGAGACTGTACCTACAGGTATTGCAACACATTCAACTAGGTGTGCTGCAACATCGCCTACTTGGGCAACTCAAGCATCGATTGAGATCTGTAGGGCGGCAACGTGGGCTTCACTGTCACCTTTCATAAGGCACTATAAGTTGGACATTTACACTTACACAGAAGCAGCTTTCAGAAGAATTTTGCAATGGGTCCACATGTAACAAGAGGGGACTCCAAACCAGACGGAGACCCTCCCGTAGGACATGCCAAGCTTTGGTATGTCCCATGCCTGGATGATCTCATCTGGAGAAGGGGCATTGGTACTTACCTGATATGCCCATTCTCTGTGAGCTGTGAAGAACATCCAGCCCCACCCAGAATCCGTCTGGTGTGCGTCCAATTCCGGCCAAGTATACAGAGCAAAGAATGACAATGAACTTATCACTTCGACTTCGCCAAAAACTGGGGACACAAAGGAGGAGCCTCGAGAAATGTCCTCAGAAATTAGCTCAGCCTATCGGATGAGAGACAGAAGCAGCTCCCATACCTGGATGCTCTTCATAGCTCACAGAGAATGGACATATCAGGTAAGCACCAATGCCCCTTCTCAGCATGTGATCCAAAGACTTCTGGGGGGGCCCTGTGATATCATCTGGGGGTTCTATGAAGGCTTGAAGAAATGTTATGATTTGAATCTTGTTAAGTCTTGGGGGGTCCATGGCCATGGTCTGTAGCTACAAAAGAAATGAAGATGAAGATGAAGAAAAGGTTGATGACCACTGATATAAGGCATTGGTTGAATTTGAGGCAGGAGAGAAAGAAGACAGAGAATATTGGGAAAATGGAGGTATGTGTAAACAGAGCAAGAAGAATGATGGATATGAAACCATTAGATGATCAGTTGAGGAGACAAATGGGAGCAAGGTTGTAGGATTGCATTTTAGTTCAAGCCTGTTGGTCCTAGACACAACGCCTTCAGCTTTCTATTTTCCTTTGTCTATCTGGATGCTGCACTTCCCAAGCAAATTGTTTGTCAGAATTAGAAATGGATATGTCTATTTGAAGCTATCTTGAGTATTATTAGGGTGAGATTTACATGGTGGAAAGTAAAGTTGACAAAAATATAAAGCTAGATAAAGAAAACACAATTAAGCAAATGAATCAAAAATATTATACTTGTTCATTTATGTATTGAGGGAAAGGAACCAAGACTATGTGTTGTTTTTAAAACGTCTGGAGAACAGATCACATTTTAGGTTGCATTTATGCAGAAATATTGAATATTCAAAAGGGTTCATAAATTTTTATGCACCATAGTATATGTGTTGCCTTTTCATTGTTTAGGTGTACAGATAGTGCTCAACTTACAACAGTTCATTTCGCGACTGTTACAATGGTACTGAAAACGATGATGACTGTTTTTCACATGACCATTGCAGCATACTCATGGTCATGTGGTCAAAATTCAGACACTTGGCAACTGATTCATATTTATGATGGCCACAGTGTCCTGGGGTCAAACAAACACCTTTCGTGACCTTCTAACAAAGAAAGTCAATAGGGGAAAGCCAGATTCATTTAACAACTGAGTTACTAACATAACATTTGCAGTGATTCACTTAACTTGTGGGAAGAAAGGTTGTAAAATGGGACAAAACTCATTTAACAACTGTCTTACTTAGCAACAGAAGTGTTGGGCTCAATTGTGGTCCTAAGTCTAGGACTACCTGTACAAGACAGATTACAAGTACATATTTTTTGCCTTATTTCTTTCATGTCTAGGAATACATATTTAGCACATTAATTCTATCTTTCACTATCACACTAAAATCAACATGAGTATGAAAGAAAATACCAAATGTACAATGTACTTCATGGTTATTTAGAATTACATTCCTTATCTACACAGTGCATCATCTCATAACTTGCTGACATGTATTTTGTTTTCTTTTTCTGCTGTTACGCAGGACATGTTAATTAAGCTTGTTGACTGTTTAAAAATGAGGTTACCGAGAATTATTTCTATAGGTGACTTCACCCTGTTTCAGTTTTATTGTTTTTTTACATTTTATACATAGTTGCCATTTGCAGTGTAAGTAGTTGAGTGAAACTGAGATACTTTTAAGATGCTAGTATTCTGATTATTCAAGTAATTTTGTTCTTTTATTGTTTTTTAAATGATGTGTTTGTTGCATTATTCTCATATAAAATTAAGCAGCTGGCTATATTCCTAACTATTTTATCTACTGGCTTTAACTGCTTTTCAATTGAGACTACTGACAGTCTTCGGATGATATTAATTCATTTCATTTATTGTTGACTTTTTTTTTCTTTCCAGGTTCTTAAATAACTTTGTAATATGCCCAGTAAATAAATGACTTCCTAGCCTGTTGTAATGAGTTATATACTTTTACAATCCAATGCAATAAACTGAAGGGGTGCTTCATATTTTGGACTGAGTGTCTTTTAGAAATCATTACTCATCCCTGTTTAATGTAACAATGACAGTATTCATCTGAAGAACAGTGTTTGGTGTCTTTGCTATTATATCATTATAATAAATGTGATTAATGAAATGAGTACAGAATTACAATCTCTGTGTTAGTTGGAGTAGCAGATTGTTCTTAGTCTAAATCAGAGGTGTCAAACTCAAAGCCCACGGACCTGATCCGGCATGTGGGGTGCTTAGGTGGGACCGGCCTGGAAATAGCAAAGGACCGGCCGTGGTGCCTCTGCTAGTGAAAACAGATTGCAGGGGGTGGTACTCATGGCCCCCCATACCCCATTTTGGCCAGCAGGGTGCTGCAGGAGGGCGGCTGTCCTGTCTCATCCCCACCCCCGGCTGGCTCACGGAGGACAACTACAAATCCAGTTTGACACCCCTGGTCTAGATGTTTCTATTATATGCAAATGTTTAATCATGGAGGATAGGAATGAAATTTAGAGGAGGACGGAGTAGAAAGGGAATAGCATGCTTTCAGACTGCAGGAATTATCTTCCATTTTAAAAAGGTTCTTTGAATTCTACTGAAACCTGATTGTTATTCAGTATTTGTTCTATGATTATATTATTGATTTGACTGCATTTTGCTGTTTGAAGTATACATTTAAATTTCATATGTAATTGGATTTAGAAGGACTTGGACTCCCACATTAATACATTGTACTTCTAAGTGGTCAGTTCTTATTATTTGATTATCTGACAAATAATCAGTACATGATGAGAAATTATTACGGCTCATAGTTAATGGTAATGGTTTTTCTACTGAAGCAGTATTTTTCATAAATTATTTACAAGTACAATTTGCATGATATGATATGGGAATAGCCTTTAAGGTAATTTAGAGCCTATTCCAGCTGGACTAATTCTTCTCCCTGAAATGATTTCTCCCAATAGCAATAGCACTTAGACTTATATATCACTTCATAATGCTTTTCAAGCCTCTCTAAGCGGTTTACAGAGTCAGCATATTGCCCCCAACAATCTGGGTCCTCATTTTACCCACCTCAGAAGGATGAAAGGCTGAGTCAACCTTGAGCCTGGTGAGATTCGAACTGCCAAATTGCAGGCAGCCGATAGTCAGCAGAAGTAGCCTGCAATACTGCACTCTAACCACTGTGCCCTTGTGGCTCATCTTGTGGATGAGATCCTGAACATTTGTTAATTTTTTAAAATACTTTATTATTTTTTCTTTTTAGTTGTAAAGGCTTTTGTGGTTGGTATCATGAAATTCATGATACAAATAATTGAAATAAACATGTTTTCTGCACAGATAAGCTTTTCTCTATGGCTAGAGGATTCTCTTGAAATCAAGATTTATTTTAAGAACTTATTTTAAGCATTTATTTAACCACAGACTAAATTAGTATTTTAATATATAGAACTTGGGAGAAAAAATGAATTAAGCATTGTTGATTCTCTTTTTAAAAGAGGAAGCCCTCATCTGAAAGGAACGCCGTATTATAAGGAAGAACAATGTGCTCCATCATTAAATCTAGAGAAGAAACAAGTGCTAGATTTACAAGCAGCTATTACCAGGTACAGTGACTAATAATTTATATATTTAAATTCTTTACCAGAACCAGCAGGAAATAAGGTGATTAATAATGCACCATTATCGGATTATAGTATAATTAAGAGTAGAAGTGAATAATGTCATCTTATTGCTTGGCAGTTCGTCAGAATCTTTAGATCTTATCATCATCTGCTATCTAATTCTTTTAATCAGAAATGATACAGCTACCCCCACCAAACAATTTCTAGAAAAAAGCTTACATATTGTTATTTATCAATTTGACTGCCACCTCATTCAGAAAGTGACTCACAATGATTACAGTACCCTATTAAAACATGTGCTATCTTATTTCTAGACATATTGTTTATAAACAGAAAATTCATTTTTAAGATTACATACCTAATTCAGATGCAATTAATTTACTGTTAAATAACATGAAATTTTATTTTAAAATGTGAATGATAGGTTGATTTTTTTCATTGAAAATAACATACAGAAGTTCTCTGCAAGCAATACAAGATTGCAAAATAGCTTCCTTGAATAGGAGGTAGAATTATATTTTGGGGAATAGCACTGAATAGCAATAACCATAGGATAATAAAAACAATTTTTAAAAAAGACAACTTTTAGGATTTTAAAATTCCTACTATAAAATTATTTTTCTAGATGCACATGCCACAGCAATGAAGTAATGTGTTATTGTAGAATGGAATAAATTAAGGCACTTCCCAGCTTTTTTATGCATATGAATTGTTTGCACTATGTATTGAAATGAATGTGTTGTGCAGTATGTTTCAAATATAATCCAAATGGCTATTTTTAGACCTTTTTTGGATTTTCAAAGCACTCTGAATTTATGAAATTGTTTTCAGACAGATTTAATAGCTATTTTTTTCTTTGAATTTCTTTAATTCTGATAAAGTGATTATAGTTACTGATAGTAGAACATGGTAGTTCAGTTCAATGTATTTGTAATGAGAAATATTTTAACAAATAATAAAATAAAAATGGGAATAAATGTTTCTGTTTATTCTGTTCATACTAATGCAATATTTTTTCCATTAGTTTTTTTTTTACTTTGGAAACTCAGAATATATCAATTAATCCTCCAAATATCTCTAGCCGTTCTTGATATATTGAGGTAAATAATTGTATGGTTGATAGCAATGGTGTTCATAGTCATAACTATTTTGAGTATAAAAATAGTTAAAATGGCAGTTGCTATGAGTCTGACTGCCTCCCTCCCCCAACCCCATGGTGTTAGTTAAATAAAAGGGTGTTCACAGATCTGTATCAATTGCCCAGAGCTCTAGTTTACCTACAAATAAGCATGGAATTGATTATTAACAGTCAGGATAACACTGGTGCCAGCAACAATACTTTTGTAGTCTACTGCTGACTGTAGTTTAGAACAATATCACATCTTCTGTTTTGTCCTGTGCAATTTAGATTCTACTAACTTTTCAAGCATCATAAGCCCCATTTCATTTCAAACATTTTAACACTCCAAAAAAATTCTATTTCAACATAGCATGACATGGTTTTAGTTTAGAAAATACATAATTTTGAATTATTTTTTTACTAAATCTTTTCAGCATGGCATTCCAGAAAAAAGATCAATATATTTAGTGGATTGAAAAATGTCCCCTCAATATTCAAAGTATCTAAAAAAAATTCTGAATTTGCAAGAAATTTAGATTCTGCAAGACAGGACTTTGAATTTTCAAATGTTATTTTATGATCATTTGTGTGTGTCTGTGTGTGTGTGTAAGAGAGAGAGAGAGAGATCTTTTCCTGCAGCAACACTGAGTGTCATGACATGTCTCCTCCTAAAGCCTAGTCCTCACTTATGAACCACAAAATCTGTCATTAAGCAGAGTAGTTGTTAATTGAAATGCTACGTGACTGCACTGACTTACATTAGTTCCAGTGGTCGTTCTTAAGTGAATCACTACAGGTTGTTAAGCGCAATGTCATGTGACTGCAACTTGCAAGTTCCTGTGATTTCCCTGTTGACTTTGCTGGTTGAAAGCTGGCTGTGGAGGTTGCAAATAGTGATCACGTGACCATAGGAAGCCTCAACCATTGTAAATGTGGACTCATTGCCAAGGGCCCAAATTGCAATCATGTGACTCTGGGGATGCTGTGGTGGCTGTAACTTTGAGGACTGGTTATGAATCCCCTTTTTCAATGGCATCATATCTTTGAACAGCCTCTGAAGATGCAGTCAACAGACCACATGTATATAGTCTATACTGTATATATAATTATTTAAAGTACAAATGTCCATGATCTCAATTGCCAATACAGGGTCAGAACCCCATTGAATTCCCATTGGCTACACATTGTGCTTGTGCAGCAAGTCCCAAAGAGGACAAATCTTGTTGTGTAACGCCACCTAGTGGTGACCAATGTAACTGAAAACACAATGTGTACATTGTATAAAAATAGAACATTTTCCTTTTCCCTTAAAGTGGAGGGGATGGAAATTGTGTAAAACCTTGTACATGCAAGCATGAAATAATGAAACATTGTATTTTTCTTTGCTCTGAAAGCTTAATAGGAGGTGAACTGTATATATCATTTTGATTAATTTCAGAAAGTTGGGAAACTCTAAAGTAGTACCCAAAGGTCTGTGTCTGATTTATTCTGCTTCCTTTAGAATGCAGGGTTACTTTCAACAGTTCTTGTCCTTCCATCACTATATCCTGCTGGTAATATTAGGTTATTTCTACAAAAATGTTTAAAAGTTCTAAAGAGAATTGATATATTGGTAAGATTGACATTTTTTTTTTATCAAATGTCTGATAAAACAATGTGCCTCGCTTGTAGTTTACAGTCCATGCTAGAGGATCTGATCATTGCTACGGCTGATGGTCTTCTACATCTTATTCACTGGGATGGTTTGACAAATGGAAGGAAAGCCATAAATCTCTGTACAGTACCATTTTCAGTGGATCTACATTCATCTAGAGGTATTTCTTATATGTATATATGGTTGAAAAGGGGGGATTCTAAATTAAAATTTAATTATTAGTTTTATTAATCCATAGCGTTCCCATTTCTTATATTATGTGGAAATAGAACTGGTGAAGAGAGCTTACAATTTAATAATGGCAGCTTTTAATAACTGTTCTTTATCAGGTTCTTTTTTGAGTTTTGAAAATGTACACATAAGAAATATGGAATACTGTGCTACTCTTGATGGATTTGCTGTAGTGTTTAACGATGGCAGAGTTGGTTTTATTACACCAATGTCAAGTGGATTCACAGCAGAGGTAAGATTTCTTAGGAGTTCAATAATAGTTTGATTAGCTTTTCCAAGATATATCAAATTATTTGGTCATCTGTCATAGTCTGTTTAATAATATTTGAGCTATGCCTGAGAAATTGTGAAAATTTATAAAATTAGCCTCATTTACTAGGAAATAGGATTAATAATTTACAGAAATATTCTAAATAAAATAAGGTTCACTTTTTTGCAGTAAAATATTAATGTAAGATCATCCCTATAAAGAAAGAAAGTGAAGTAGACAAGTAATATTTCTAGAATATCAGCTTCTTTCATAATCACATATTATATTCTGCTAGTAAATTTCAGCTATATCATTTTGTTTCGTGTAAATTTATTTCTTTAAAATATGTTGTTCCCTTTATTTATACATTCTTTAATATTTAGCACTATATAAAACAAATATTTCAAAATGCATGATACTGTACTTATATCAGTTTAAAACTTGTACCAGTTTAAAAAGGGCACATAGACCACACCTCATTTTAACATGTAATGCAAGGTGCTGAAAGATAAACAGGTAACTTGGATAAAATATTCTTGCAGCAACTCCATGGTGTTTGGGCACAGGAAGTTTTTGATGGGACTTGCGTGGCTGTAAACAACAAGTACAGATTAATGGCATTTGGCTGTGCAAAGTAAGTTGAACGTCTTAACTCAGAACTGGAATATATTCTTTTTAGATTATCTGAGGGTAAAATTGTTACTGTGCTAAAGTTACTGAATTCCTACTTACCAATAGTTGATTTCTGCCTTTTATATTCAGGGCCGAATTTGTTTGTTTGTTATTATTTTAAATTTGGTTGTTAGCTAGAAGATTCTGTTCTGAAGGAAAAAAGTTGGATGTGAAGAAATAAATAAGAAAACCAACCAATCCAATCTAACAAGTACTGTGCATATTTATTTATCTAGTAGATCCCAATGGATTCAGTTGGATGCAGGATGTTCATGTAGCACCCACCAGCAGTTCTTTCAAGAAATCATATGTTAAATCTAGAATTGGTTTAAGGAAGCATTTGTGCTCAAGTCACTTTTTCTCACTTGAATCAGGCTCTCTGCACAGCCCTAATACGATTGTAACATCTGTTCCCCTCTGATACTAATGAGGTACAGGTAGTCCTTGACTTACACAACAGTTCGTTTAGTGACCATTCAAAATTATAATGGCACTGAAAAAAGTAACTTATGACCCTTTTTCAGTTATGATCTTTCCAGCATCCCCATGATCATGTGATCAAAATTCAGATACTTGGCAACTGGTTCATATTTATGAATGTTGCTGTATCCCAAGGTCACTTTTTGTGACTTTCTGACAAGCAGGTCATAAAATGGGGCAAAATTCATTTAACAAATATCTCACTTAACAACAGAAATTTTGGGCTCAAGTGAGGACTACTTGTATTTGAATTAATTATATGAAAGTGGACTTATTCTTTACATTCACATTTTCATCTGACCAGCTTAATTTTAAAATTTTTGTCTCAGAATTGTTTGTGGTTTTTTCCCCTTTTCTAGTGGTTCTGTGCAAGTGTATACAATAGATCATTCCACAGGGGCCATGCAACTATCTCACAAACTGGAACTAACACCCAAGCAATATCCTGGTAAGCCCAGTTATATTAGCGGTCAGGTTGGATTGTTTATGTTTTTTTTTATGATATCCCTCCTTGATTCATTTATAATAGGTAAATACAGTAGTTTGGCATACAGTGGCGATACCGAAGGCTGAGCTACCCATCCAATCATCTGGGTTTATGCATATTCAATTGAGTATACCCCATATAGTTCTATAGCAGACAATATATGTCTGACAAACATTTAAAATATTATTACCCATCATAAAGTACAGTCAGGCTGGCCATGTTATGCTCATGGTAAAACCATCTCCATAAAGACAGTTATTTCTTTCTTTTAAGGATGAGTCAACAGCTGTTTGTTAACAGTAACAGAACTAGCAAATGTGAGCTGAAAAGAAATCTAAAAACATTCTAGAGGTTGGGAAAGAGCTATTTTTGCCATAGTTCTGTTTTTTTTACTCTAGTGGTCATAATGGTTTTTCAACACAGGTCATTCTAGTAGTTACCCAACATGAATGCATTCTTTGCTTAGTCACACAAAGAGAAATTGAGGTCCTTAGTTACCAGGAAAGAAGGTTCCCTTGGCACCATTTATACATCTAACACATAGTTTAGAAAGTTATAAATCTTGCTTTGCATTTCCAGGTATTGTGCTCTGACGACAGTCTTGCTAGAGAAATAGAGAAGTTGTTGGGAAACAGTTATAAGGTTCACTTACGTTGTTCCAATATTTTTTACTAGCTTGGAAGGAATTGTGGCAGGGCTTCAAAGATCTATGACAACTGAGCTAAAAGCTCCGGTAAAGTTTTTCATATCCTTAAGCAAGAATAATTTATATAGAGGAAAGAGGGAGGCAGAATGTAGATACACAGTTTCTGTTCATCCCGATGACTTCTTATTCTGTTTTTGTGCATTACTTCTGTGTACCTCTGTGTATGTGCAAAATTTAATAAAATTAAATTCATCCTGTTAGGATTAATATTTTGGGGGATATTTTGGGGGATATTCCATAGAGCCAATATACTACAGTCTTCCCTTCACCTTGTAGCTAAATCTCTCTTTCTCACCCCAAAAGAAAAGCACTTGTGGAATTGAATTGAATCCCTTATGTATCATTTTGAATTTCCAGAAGAAAAGTGGGAGTTAAATATATAGTTAAAAAATTTAAAACAGGTTTTTAAAATCTGCCAATATTTTTTGTATTTCAATAGATATTTGGAACAAAACAGGAGCTGTTAAACTCATCAGATGGTCTCCAGATAATTGTGTTGTTATGGTGACCTGGGAATGTGGAGGCCTGTCTTTATGGAGCGTATTTGGAGCCCAGCTTATTTGTACTCTAGGAGGTGACTTTATGTAAGTAATTTGTGTTTCATATTAGGAAATTTAACCAAAATATGTATCTGCTATTCAACTTTTTATTTTCTACACAAAGCTTTTAAAACTATTTTTCTTTGTTTAGTTATTTGATATCTCAAACTGTATATATTATCGACTGAATTATAATAGCAAAATGCTCATTTTTTTCTGCACAATATTTTGATGAAATGTTAACAACATGCCAATGAGAGGCTTTATCTGCAACTTCAAAACCTGTTCTCCCTTCAGTCTCTGTTTTACAAAATATAGACCTATATTTTTATGTGCTATGTATGCCTTCTAAATTCAGGGCTGTTTTTAATAGCTACAGAAGAGATTCCTTCTTTCCTCTGTTTCTTCTCTGTAGGCTTGATGAAGTTGATAAAACTGATCTGATGTGATACTTTTAAATTCATAGAAAAGTACAAATGATATTAAAGGTCTCTAGAATAGGGTTGGGCAGATATTTATATCTCATACCTATTTTTCTTGGCTATTTAGGTTTAATATATCAAGGATGAACTTCTAGGGAATTAAAAATGCCCCCCTATTAATATGAACGTAGTGACCTGAAACATGAAGTCCCTTTAATATCCAATATTTAAATGTAATATTTTTTTTATGCTATTCATTTTAGTCATCGAACTGATGGTACTAAAAAGGACCCTCTAAAGATCAGCTCTATGGTGAGCATTATTTATTATTATTTTACTAGTCTTTTTCTCTCTCATGTAGGTACACACAATTAAATTTTATTCTAATACTTTACCAATAAATTAACATGGACTTATCCATTCTACTTAACTCTCTTTCTGCATTAATATGACAATCCAGATATTTTCAGGTTACTTTTTAAATTTAATTTATTTAATTTACACACAAAAAAAAAATCAGGTTCATAAGATTTAGCAAATTATATTCCCTGCCAGGGACAGATCTTAGAAAATCACAGTATATCATTCCTTCCATCAGAATAACAGGACCATTCAATTCATAGGAACTGGAATATGTCTTGGATACCAGTTCTCAGAAAATACTACTAATATTTTACAGAACAAAGCTGACCTTTGGATAGGGATTTTGTCTGTGGTTTCTCGTAGCACACATGGCTCTAAAAGGTATATAGAATTGTGAAAATATCTGAAAATGGTGGGAAAGGGAGATATAAAGGAGTAGAATTGTGCTTTTCATCACACTTATTGGTGTCAACTTGATATTAGGCATTCTTTAATTCTAGACAGTATTTCTCTAGTGTTTTAGTTGTTTTAAATGATACACGCTATTTTTTTTATTTTTCTTCTCAGAGTTGGGGATCTGAAGGTTATCATCTATGGGTAATTGATGCAAATAACTCTGGGAATTCAATGACCGAGAGCAAAAACAAAGGGCAACGTTTTGGTATTTTGCAATTTCAGTTCATCAAAAGTGCACTCGCAGTTAATCCTTGCATAGTAAGTATTCATGTTTGATGATTTGTAGTGCTGGGTCACTTGTATTGTATTTTTGGTCAAAACGTTGCCTAATTTGAATTATATTAAAATTATTTTTTTGAAGAAAATGTAAATAAAATAGCATTATTATTTACACAGCAGACATGGTTTGAAACATGAAAATGCCACCACTTTCTTAAATAATTATTCTTAAATAATCTTTTTCCAATTTTATTTGGTTTTCTTATTTTCTTTAAAACTTTATTTATGTTACCGTTCACTGTCTGAAGTACTGGTTTCTTCGTTTGTTCACAGAGCAACCAGGAGCAGGTTCTCCTTCAGGGAGAAGATCGCTTATACTTGAACTGTGGAGATGTAGTGCAAGCTCAGAACCCTCGAAGTTCCTCAGCACATGCGGAACCTAAGACTGTCAGAGAAAGAGGCCAATTTTCATATGAGAGCTTAGATTCTCAGGGCTTAAGCACTTTATTAGGGCACAGGCATTGGCATGTTGTACAGGTAACTTCCTCTCTTGGCACTTGACTGCTTCCCCCTCACATCTTATTTTTTGAATGCCTGTCAGCTTCTGCTGTGAAAGAAGACCAGATTAAAAACTAGTGACTTTCCAAGTCTACATCTTAAACTGCTTTGACTTCCTCATATAAGAAACTTACCTTTAGTTCTATAACTGCTATTGTCTATTAGGAACACAATATCTTTACTGTTAAAACTTCCTAACTGATTTTTTTTTACTTATGTTCTTGATATAGACATACATGCCAATAAATATACGTATGCCAATAAATATAAAATATACATCAAAATAAAAAATGCTGAATATCTACTATAAAGATACCCAGAGATCTTGTACTGAAAATGGGAATAAATATTTGCAGATGTGACCATATACCGTGTTTCTCCAACAATATGGCCTTCACCAATAGGAAGCCCCACCATGTTTTATTGGCATAAAATCAAATTAAGCCCTTCCCCCCAAATTAAGGCCCATATTAAACATGCGAAATGGGGGAATGGCGGGGGGGCTTGCCGTTAGGAAGTACTTTTGTTGCATGCCCGGATATGGTCCTGCCTGCGTTGGTGGGGCACTTCATATCGGGAGACCTTCCACCACCATTGCTTTCCCTTCTCCCTTGCTGCCCCGGCATTAGAGCAACGCCGTGGCGTTTGGCGCAGCCACGTGCGGCCAGCCAGGGCTCCTCCCTGCAACCGGAGCCCTGCAGAGACACTTGGCTTCAGGCGCTCCTGTCGCCACCTTCCCTTTGCCTTCGAAGGTAAAGCCAATTCTTTTAAAAATGACACCCTACTACAACAAAGCCTCCCCTGCCTGAGAGGGCAGCCCAACCCCACATGGGGAGGTGAATCTCCCGGGGCCGCAGCACAGCGCACCCCAGGAGAAGCACCCAGCTGCCATCCCTGCCTGGCGCCGGGCAGAGCGCGAAGAGCTTCGCCTGGGGCGCCCAGCACAGCTGACAGGCGGGCCCTCCTTCCCGGCGGCAGAGCTCTCACCAAGGCAGTGAGCACCTCCCCTCCGGGCCCTCCGCTCATCCCACCAGGGCCGCGCCGGAGCCGTGCGGGCTGGGCAGAGCTGGGAAAGCGAGCCGCGGGTGCGCGCCCCCCTGCCAAGCGAAAGAGCCCGGGCCGCCCCAAGGTTGGCTTCCTTCCCAAGTCCCTCCAGCCCGAACCCGAAGGGGCCACCAGGAGAGGCCGCCCGAGGCAGTGATAGCGCCCACCCATCCGTGGACAGGGAGGCAAGGCGTCGGCCTGTGCTGCGTCCTCCTCCAAGCTGAGCCCCACCGAGTCAGCGCCTCTGCCTGATGCCCGTTCCGCTGAAGCGTTTGGAGCTGCCGGCGCATTTGTAAATGCGTTGGGACGGGGACGGGCTGGTTGAGGGGTGGAAAGGGACGGGGGCTTTGGGCTCTCTCCGCCGGCCAGGGAAGCAGCTCTGCCATCACCTCGCCTCCCTGTCCACGGACGGGTGGGCGCTATCACTGCCTCGGGCAGCCTCTCCCGGTGGCACCTTCGGGTTCGCGCTGGAGGGACTTGGGAAGGAAACCAAGCTCAGGTTGGGCCGGCTCTTTTGCTTGGCAGGCGGGCGCGCACCCGCGGCTCGCTTTCCTGGCTCTGCCCAGCCCACACGGCTCCGGCGCGGCCCTGGTGGGATGAGCGGAGGGTCCGGCGGGGACGCGCTCGCTGCCTTGATGAGAGCTCTGCCGCCAGGAAGGAGGGCCTGCCTGTCAGCTGTGCTGGGCACCCCAGGCGAAGCTCTTCGCGCTCTGCCCGGCGCCAGGCAGGGATGGCGGCTGGGCACTTCTCCCGAGGTGGGCTGATCCTGCGCTGCGGCCCCATGAGATTCGCCTCCCCACGTGGGGTTGGGCTGCCCTCTTGGGCAGGGGAGGCTTTGTTTTAGTATGGTGTCATTTTTAAAAGAATTGGCTTTACCTTCGAAGGCAAACGGAAGGCAGCGACAGGAGCGCCTGAAGCCAAGTGTCTCCGCAGGGCTCCGATTGCAGGGAGGAGCCCTGACTGGCCGCACGTGGCTGCGCCAAACGCCGCGGCGTTGCTCTAATGCCGGGGCAGCAAGGGAGAAGGGAAAACAATGGTGGCGGAAGGTCTCCCGATACGAAGTGCCCCACCAACGCCGAAGTCAACATCCAAGCTGTCACCGCCCGCCCTCCCGAGGATGCAAGGGGGGGAATTAAGTCACCCCCCAAAAAGACGGCCTAGCCATTTTTTCGGGGGTCAAAAAAAAATAAGGCCTGGCCTTATTTTGTGAGAAATACGGTAGTTTTTTATCTATTGATTTTGATGAAATATGGTAATTGTAAAAAAGGTTCATAGTGCTTTGTTTTCTTCTTTTAAAGATTCACAATATATATTTGGAGATCAATTGGCCCATAAGGGTAAGTTGCTTTAAAACGTTAATACTTTACAATTTTTATTGTATTTACATAGAAATTTTACTTTTTATAGAAATGAATTGGAAGGGGCAGCTTGTATTAGAAATCATTATTAATGAAATAGGACAAATAGTATAATTGGTTTGTTAATAAGGATCTGACAAGTTGCATTTATCTTCTTCATAAACAGTTTTCAGCCATTGATAAGATGGGGCAGAATGTAGCTGTAGTTGGCAAATTTGGCTTTGCACATTACTCTCTGCTTTCCAAAAAATGGAAACTGTTTGGCAACATTACCCAGGTGAGTGGCTTAATTATAAATGAATTAGTGGGGGGGGGGGACTTTACAGTCTAAAAATATTATTACCAATTTGTAGAATGTCACTGAGATTTATAGACTGCTTGCTAATCTATGGTGTGTAATGTATGTAATGTAATGTATGTAATATATGTATGTATTAAATAATAGACATTTAGATTAAGGCTCATATAAATAGTTTCTTATCTCAGTGCTCAGTGATGGATATGACATTTTGTATTTTAGAAGAAAGGAGGACAGCATCTTGTAAAAATAGTTCATTCCAGTAATACTGTAATTAAAGGATTTCTTATATTTTTGCTAAAAAAATAGAATTGTTGGCTAATAGCTTGTCTGGCAGAATTCATTTTGGAGAAGAGAGAGGCGGTATTGTTCCTGTTATTTATCAATGTTGTGAATGGAGGAGGTGGATTATAATAAGGGTGGGAGGAGAAGGCAGGCCATGGGGGTATGTTTATTTCCAAAATAGCTTAACTTAAATTCTTTCTTCTGCCAAAGGCAGCTAGAACAAGTAGCTCTGTAGGAAGGATCCTGGAAGCTTTCTGTTTTCTACATTGTATATTAGCTGGTTTGGAGGTTTGTTATTTTGAAATATGGGTTCTAAATAATGTAATAAATAAAATAAAAACTGAGAGAATCTTAGGTAAAATTAACTCCATCATTCAGTCATCTTACCTTACAGCCAGAAACACATCAAGGAAATTCTGGAGATTTAAGACAATAGCATTGCTTTCAATAGCAAGGGAGATATGCAGAAAATTTAAAATGTGAAAACAGCTTATTTTGAGCCCCAAACAGCTGTTTTCAATAGAAAATGGGCTTTTTCCAATGCTATTCAGACTTTACCAAAACCATTAAAAAATTCCAGCAAGTTCAGAATACCATCAAAACATTTCCTATGGGATCAGATCAGTTGTATCGAGCTTGACACAGCTCTTTCAAATTCAAAATGGCATTTCTAGCTCAATTTTCCCCCCAAAGTGGGATGTTTCTTTCTGCTATCTTCTCAAGATCAATCCCTAACGATTATATAGTGATGTCAAAGCCCTTACCTGCTGTTCTTATAAATTGCGTAAATACAACATTTAGGATTGACTTCTAGAATTCTCGGGGCTACGGAAGAGTTAATAAAATTAACATTCTAATGTTTATCCCTAAATGTTGTTAGCAATGTTATTAACATTTTTCATTATGTAATTGTATTTGCCTTGATTGTATTAACCTTGATGGATAAGCTGTTGGGGTAAGTGGATTTTTAGAAAGTTGAATAATTCTAGCTTTCCATTTAATTTTAGGAACAAAATATGACTGTTACTGGAGGCTTAGCATGGTGGAATGACTTCATTGTCATTGCATGTTACAACTTAAGTGACCGCCAAGAAGAGGTAAGGCAGACCTTGAATATAAAAGACTGTTGGTGTACTTTTATGGAAACATTAAATAGAAATCTGCCTGTTATATTAGTTATATTAGAAACTTTATTGCCTGCATAGCAATAACAATTAAAAATAACAATAACTACTTGTTATTTTCATTTTTCTTTCTGTTCTCAGAAAGTATTAGGATTAAAATTAATATTAAAATTAAAATAATTCTGATTTTTGTAAACGTGTTTTTTATCACTGCTGATACTACCTTCCTGAGATAAGGAATGCCCAGTTATATATTTGAAAGAAAATCAAAAGGAGAAAGTAGACTCATTCTAAAACTCCAAGGACATTTTGTGGCAGGCTATATTGGGATATACTTGGGATAAGAGAAATTCCCCAGATTTTTATATCCAGACATAAATAACACGATGTTAGTCTCATCTTCCTTATGAATGTGATTGTTCAGAAATTGGATTCTGCCTCTAAAAATGTTTAAAGGTTACCTCCATGAAAGTTATATTGTTTCATATTGTAAGATTAATTGTTCAAATGTCTGCCCAATATTATTTCCATATAGTGCTTTTAATATAATAATAACCTGTACAGAGTGTTCTTTCTTCCTCATCTCAAAAGAGGAAAAGGATAGTGAATGAAGAATATTTAGTATCACAACAGAGATGAAAAATCCACTCCGTGAAAAAAATTTTTTTAGCTAGAGTGTAGATCAACCAGGTTGCCTTATTATAAGTTCCTCATGAAAGGACAAGGCTTGAAAATTAGTTTAAATTCTCCTTATAAGTTTGTGATCAAAAGTATTCATTATTCTTTTCAGCTAAGAGTATATTTACGAACAGCCAATCTGGACAATGCGTTTGCTCATATCACCAAAGTGCAGGCAGAAACATTATTGCTCAGCGTCTTTCGGGACATCATAATTTTGTTCAGAGCAGACTGTTCTATTTGCCTTTATAGTATTAAAAGAAAATCTGATGGGTAAGTATACTTCAACTATGTTATTGCATAATTGGTTTTGTTTTAGTGTATGGGTGAGGGAGAAAGAAGCCCTTGGTGAAAATCTCTTGAATCAGATTTGAATGGTGTCTTTTTCACTCTCGTTCATTCTGATGTGGCCCCCCTTGTGAACAATAACACAGAGTTCAGTATTACAGGCATTAAGTCATGGTTAGCTCAGCAGGTACTTCATATTAGGGAACTCAACAAAGCTAACCTTAAAAATGAAAAACATTTTCCTTAACCAGTTGCATTAGAAAATTGCCAAAGGAATATATACTTAACAATTCTATATATAGCCTATTGTAATCTGATTTATGTTTCAATGCTGTTTGGTTACAAGGAATATTTGCAATGTCTTGGTCTCATAAGGATTGTTGCATTATCCTGAAAATTATTATCATACTGATAAAGATGTTAGAATACCTCACAGATGTTTATTTGGGGCTAGTAGGACACTGACCACTGGACTTTTTTTTGTCTTTCAGCCCTAATCCTACTACAAGTATGCAGGTTCTGCAAGAGGTTTCTATGTCACGTTATATTCCTCACCCTTTCCTTGTGGTGTCCGTTACTTTAACATCAGTAAGAACAGAGACAGGTATCAGCTTGAAAATGCCACAGCAGGTATCTACAGTTTTTAAAAAAAATTTATTTTAGAGCTAGAGAAAGCAGATTTTCCACTTGAAAACAGTATATGTGAGACAACACCATCCCTCATTCAATCTCCCCCACTTGTTGTTCGGGCAAGATACATGAGAGGACATGGTTGATAAATCATGGTGCTTTAGGTTAAGGACAAGAGAAAAATGCATGTATTTGAACTAACATTGATTTTCCTGATGTTCATAATACCTTTATGAAGGAATGATTTGGATTGCTGCTGTTTTTGCAGCTTCCTGTAGGTTTTTTTTTGTTTTTTTTATAAAGTTGATGCTACTGAGAAATTGCTGTTGTTTTGAATGAGGGTTTACTTGTAAAACTTTTGAGGATTCAGTATGGCTCCATGATGTTCAACATCAAAAATAAGCTACGGGGAGACATAGGGGATATAATGTTATCAGTCTGCTGAATGATAGTTAGCTTTATGTTTCAGAGAAGGCAATTGAGTCATCAGCTTTTTATCAATGGCCAGCATACATTGAATGATATTGAATAATATGCTTTTATAAACACAATGCTGATAATGATGTATTTGAACTTTCAGAAAAATAGTAGATTCAGGAAAATTGAAAAGGAATAATAAATGTTTGTTTTTCTTTAAGGCCTGTGAAGCAGAGAGCATTATGTTAAATTTAGCAGGACAGCTAATCATGGTACAGAGAGATCGATCAGGTCCTCAGATCCGAGAAAAGGAGAGTAGCCCCAACCAAAGGAAACATGTGAGTTAACTTATGGAAAAATCTCAATGAAAGAAATGCACATTGTGAATTAATCTAAACATGTAATACTTTGTTGATCTTATAATTACAGCAAGCATTCTTTGTTTATAAATGACTGTAACTTTTCTAAATTCTTGTAACATTGCTTTTCTGTAACTGTCTTTTCTTTAGATGCAAATTAGAATTTGTTTCCATTATTATTTTGAAATAGCACTTGCTTATCCAACATTGTATGATAGTGATTAATGTACAGGACTGTTTTCAAACACAACTAACAATTCAGCTGCCAAACTGTAGCAATATCTTAATAAATATAGAAAGGACGGAAGGGATAAGGGTACTGATATTAAAAAAGGGATTTAATATCAGTAGCAAATATAGGCAGTACTGTAACTTTAGATTATTTTTAACTGAACCTTTCCTTCATTTCTGTACTTCGGTAACCCATTTATGTTAATACAGAGTAAAGAAAAATAGATAATAAGCTGTATTGCTGATTATTAAAAAAAATATGAAAAAATACATTGTGGTAACAGGATAATATGAAAAAATTATGGAAGAGATTAGGAAGAGCTACATTAAGTTAGTAAACTAACGTTTGATCATGCTTCTATTAAGGAAGAATGAGTTGTCAGCAAAATTAATGTTTGTGTGTTGCCATATGAAACTTGATGAACAACTTGTGAAAAAGAGAAAAAATAAAATAGGCTAATTAGTATTATTCCTATGTTCTCAGCTGCCATTCTGTGCTCCTGTTGTACTTGCCCAGTCTGTAGAAAATGTTTGGACGACGTGCCGTTCTAACAAACAGAAACGGCACTTACTGGAGGCTCTGTGGCTCAGCTGTGGGGGATCAGGTATGAAGGTCTGGCTTCCTTTGTTTCCCAGGGACCATCGCAAACCACATTCCTTCCTTTCAAGACGGATCATGCTGCCTTTCCACATTAATATCTACCCCTTGGCTGTTTTGTTTGAAGATGCCTTGGTTCTTGGTGCTGTCAATGACACTGTGCTCTATGACTGTTTATACACTCACAGCAGTGCTGTTGAACATTTAGAGGTCCTCTTCCCCTTCTGTATTGTCGAGAGAACATCTCAGATCTACCTCCATCACATTTTACGCCAGCTTTTGGTGAGGAACCTAGGCGAACAAGCCTTGCTTTTGGCTCACTCTTGTGCCGCCCTACCCTATTTTCCTCATGTACTAGAACTGATGCTCCATGAAGTGCTGGAAGAAGAAGCTACCTCGCGGGATCCCATTCCCGATCCTCTCCTTCCCACTGTGGCTAAATTTATTACAGAGTTCCCCCTCTTCCTACAGACTGTTGTTCATTGTGCTAGAAAAACAGAATATGCCCTATGGAATTATCTCTTTGCTGCTGTTGGAAATCCAAAAGACTTATTTGAAGAGTGCTTAATGGCCCAAGATTTGGACACAGCCGCATCTTACCTTATTATTCTGCAGGTAATTACATTCGCTCATTTGATTCGGAAAAGTGATACAGTGTGCTAAGCATGCACAAGCATCTTACTTTGATAGAGCTTTTTCTCTTACAAGTATATATTTATTAAATAAGAACAGAAATAAAAAATAAGAGAGGGGTGCTAATTACCTCTGGGAATGAAATTGTCTACTATGCAGTCATCTGTGTAAGCATAGATTCATACAATAGGTGCCTCTAGGCCATTTCCAGTTAGCAGTCCTATCATAGTCATGGATAGTAAAATCATTGGCCGTGATTATTGGACTTGGACAATGAAATCAAAGGTGTGAAGTTTGATGCTTGCTTTTATCTGCAGCCTTTTCTGTTTGCTTACTGATGTGCTAAATAAAAAGTGGCTTCTGTGTAAAAAGTGTTTTATATTGGTTTCAGAATATGGAAGTTCCAGCAGTTAGTAGGCAGCATGCAACTCTGCTATTCAATACAGCTTTGGAGAAAGGAAAGTGGGATCTTTGTCGGCACATGATCAGATTTCTGAAAGCCATTGGCTCTGGTGAATCGGAGACCCCTCCTACTACACCAACAACTCAGGTTTGAAAGGCACACGATTGCTCTATCATAAATGTCTTTGACAGTAATCCAGATGTAATTTTGGAAAAAAATGTTCAAGTAACATGTAGAACTTGCAGTTATCTTATCAGATATTTTCCTTAATGAATGGATTTTAATCATACACTAAACCGTACTCCTTTTTTATTAATGAATGACTGTATGTGAACATGATTATTTGATGGTTACAGGTAACTAGAACTTGTAACCGTATGTGACATCTTAAGCAAAGGGTCTGCTTAGCTTTGCTTGTGTATAATGTCACAAGACTTGTTTATGTGTTGTGCTGGAAACAGAAGTGTGGTAAAAGTATTGTAAATCAAAATGACTCCATTAATCCCTATCGTGCTACTGCTTTTGTCATTTCAACCTTGTTGCTTTTAAATTCCTTGAAGTTGGATAGTCGGGTATTTTGATCAAAGGGAATAGGAGAAAAGAGTCATATTTTCCTAACTATAACATAGCATTTTTAATCTCAGCACAACCGCTATTTGCTTATAGTCATACTTTGATGCCTGCAATCTGCAAGATGTCCAAGCTAGGCCTGTGCTGTTTTGGTAGCAGATGACAAGATGTCTCGACAGAGGCTTTCTTCTCTTAAGTTAGGGTTTTTGATCCTAAAAGTTATAGACCTTTTTTGAAAAATAACCAAATATAGCATTAAGTCTGTCTGAAGTAGTAGTCACCTTAACGTCATACAAAGGCAAGAAAGCAACAACAACAACAACAAAACTAAAAAGTTTTGAAATCATTATAAGTGGATATTTTTTCAGGAAGCATCTGTTTGATGGAGGATTACTGGAATAACTCATTATTGTGAAATTCATTAGAAATATTTCTTTCACCATAAAACCTACTCTCAGCTTTTCTGGTTTTCAGCCAGTCTGCTATTTGCTTTAAATTTAATTTAATTAATTTAGAGACTGTCCGATTCTGACCAAGTCTCCAACCTGTCTATTCTTATCCCTTTCTTCCATGTAGGAACCTACTTCAAGTGGTGGCTTTGAGTTCTTTAGACATCGCAGTATTAGTTTGACTCAATCTGGAGAGACACTTCCAGCTGGCAAATTTAACTTGCAAAAAACCTTGAGCATGCCATCTGGCCCACCTGGCAAAAGGTAATCAAGTAGAAGAGAATATATGTCTCTTGCTATATATTTCATTGCATCAGCCCTACATATATTAAATTACAGAGATTATTACTACTTTACTGATTCTATCTGATGCTGAAATTTCACAGTACTCCAACTTGATTCTAGAAAATTAGGCTAAATCCTTATGGAAATTAGAAATTAAAATGGAAATTAGTCTTTGGTGTTAACTTTATTTTTCCACCTTTGTAGATTGAGTAAGGAAAGTGATTGCGCTGAGAACATGTACATTGACATGATGCTGTGGAGACATGCTCGGCATCTTCTGGAAGAAATCAGGCTTAAGGACCTTGGTTGTTTTGCCGCACAGCTGGGCTTTGAGTTGATAGGCTGGTTGTGCAAAGAGCGCAACAGAGCTGCTCGTGTGGAGGATTTTGTGTCTGCCTTGAAGACATTACACCGTGATTTTCTTTGGCCATTTCCCATTATTCCAGTGTGCTCTATAAATTCACCATTGAAGAACGGAAAATGTAGAACAGGTATCTTATCCCCCTCTCATTTAATGTACCAGAATCTAAATGTAACTTTAGGGTAAATGGTGTCTTATGGGGCTGTTACCTTTCATTTTGTATTTTCAGATCAGATGATTATTTTCATATTTGTAACAAATCCATTGTTGGTGCTACCATAGAAGCAAATGTAGCAGGCATTTTGAATTCAAGTGATGTTGCACTTTAGCACGTTAAGATTAAACATATTTAATTCAGTCTTTGAAATTAAACTGTATTTAACAAAGAATAAAAATATATAGCAAGTAATTGTTGGAAGAGAATACTATCTACCTGATGAATGTTACAGTTAAAGTGTTCATAGGAAAGAAAATAAATTAGTTTGGTTTCATTGTGTGCATTGTGTGTAAGTGGCTATATTCATCTATACTGAAACTCATGGTAGGCATCCCAAAGTAGTAGGAGTTGGTTACAGGTCCTTGAAATGAATTAGCCTTGAAATCTTAAATAATATGTTTAAGGCTGGAACAACAGCTCGTTCATATGCTCTCATTTCCAGTAATAGGTGAACAACTCTTAAAATCACAGTCTGCTGACAGCTTTTTAAACATGGAAATAGACTCCAGCATCCCAGATATGTCAAGGAGTCATAGCTGGTTTGGTGCCATCAGCTCCTCCCAAAGAGAGATGGATACAGCATCTTCCCATGGCCCTCAAATGCAGGAGGCATTCCTCTCACCTTTGTTAAGTAAAGTGGGTGAGTTCTTTATTCTGATATTTGGCTTTCTTTTAGGTGGTTCTGGGTATTTTATCTGAAAATAAAAGTATATTTTTCATATACAACAACTGCCATTTGTTTCTTCATCTTTCTTGGGAATAACGCAGAAGGTAAAGGATTAAATAGTAGAGGAAAAACAAATCAATATATTTATGAATTCATATCTAGAACAAATTCAAAATAGGAATTCTATTGGCAGCAGCAATCTAGAACTTCATCACAAGACAGCATACCTATATGTATAGTGACCATGCTAGTCTCTTTTGGAATAAGCAGTGTTCACAAAGTGCATAAAAAGAATAATAAATATTAAATTGAAAAAAAAAAGTTTATTTCCAACCTTTATTACTTTTATAAACAACTCAAGGTGGTGAACATATCTAATCCTTCCTTCTCCTACTATTTTCCCTACAACAGCCCTCTGAGCTAAGGTTGAGCTAAAAATGAGTGATTGGCGACGTCACCCAGCTGGCTTTCAGGCCTAAGGAGGGACTCGCCAGCCTGGTGCCCTAACCACTAGAGCAAACTCTCTTGTTCAAATCAACATCATTCAGTATAACTGCCTTATGTGTCTGTCCTTATAAAGTGTCACTAAACTTCTTAACTTGCTATTCTTAAAGATATCATTAAGCACAACCCCTTGAAAGTCCTCTTACTCTCAACAAGTTTACTCTTTGTATATTTGCTTTGCTATTAGATTCATGTTCACTCTCTCTGTACCAATAGTCCTTCCTTAAAAGAGGTACTTGGAATCGGCAACTCTACCACTAAGCAACGTGTTCATAAAATACAATGTTGTGTGACTGTACCGACTTAATACGGCAATTGTAGTTGTAGTTATTAAGCAAATTCTGTGTAGACATTGAGTGTAATGTCACGTAATTGCCATTTATGACCTCCTGCTGGCTTCTCCCTTGTTTTTTGTTGGAAGCCGGCAGTGAAGGTCACAAGTGGTGATCTTCTGACTGACACAGCCATTGTAATTGCAAGCCAGTTGCCAAGTGCCTGAATCTTGAGCCTCTTACCAAGAGATGCTACAATGACCACAACTACAAGGAACAATTGTAAGTCTCATTCAACACCATTGTAACTTTAAATAGTTGTTGAATGAGTTGTTCTTAAAAGAGGACTACCTATATGACTCACTTAATTTGTACTCAGTTCACTGTTATTCAGCACCAATTCATTCTTATCCTATCTCTTGTTTTACAGCATACACTTCTTAAATATTCCATACTATAGTCATACCCATAGTAATTCTCATTTCCATTTTGCACATTGGGGAGATTCATGCTTTAGTACACAACTATTTTAATTTTATTCCATTAAACAACGATTCCTTGCAGTAGAAAACATGCCATACCCTCAGCCTTTCTTATAACATTTACATATTTTAAATTTTATTTCCCCTTCTTTAGTAAAATCACTTATTTGCTGCTATTTTGGCTCTTTATGTATACCTTATGATTGTTCGTTCAGTTTTCCCAGAAAAACACAATTATCTTGTTTTGATACATTGATTTTTTTAGATACAAACACTTTCATGCATCACATAGACTAGTGTTCACTACAGATGTGGTATTTGATAACATGACATCATCTACATACAAAAATACATGCATGTTTCATACCGTTTACATTCCATAACCATCCTTATATTTTTATCCATAAAAAATGTTAAAGAGCCAAGTACTCTATACTGATGAGATGCAGGGTTTTTTGCACATTTTAACTAAGTCAGAGACATTGAAATCTATATTTGTTTTGCTGTATTTGATAGGTGACGAGGGGAGCATTGGCTCTGCCACGGATCTGACAGAAACAAGCTCTATTGTAGATGGAGATTGGACTATGGTGGATGAAAATTATTCCACCTGGAGTCTGACACAGTCTGAATTGGAACATATCTCTTTGGAGCTAGCCAGCAAAGGGCCACACAAATCACAAGTTCAGCTGCGGTAAATGAGATGGAAGTTTGTATTGTCATTAGGATTCCTTTGAGTTGTTGGGGGTGAAGGATAATATCCTGTGGGGAAAAGGGAATGTTTCTGTGCCTTAGCTTAGAAAGTGCCATTGGATCTTTTTGTAGGTATTTGCTTCATATTTTCATGGAAGCAGGATGCCTGGACTGGTGCATGGTCATAGGCCTAATCCTTCGAGAATCTTCAGTCATCAATCAAGTGTTTAGTCTGGCGCAATCTTCAGAGGTTGATGGGGAAATGTTGCAGAACATTAAGATGGGACTGCAGGCAATAGAAAGATGGGCTTCTACAGACTGGTGAGTCGCATGAATCTCCTTTCACTTTACATATGGTTTAAGCTGCTTTTCTAAGAAACAGCAGCATATAATACCTAGTATAATCTATCTGTGGAATTATTTTGTAACTGACTAACTGTTCCTATTAATACCCTTGAAAAGAGTTCTTATTTCAACATTTCAAGATGTGTAATATGAACAGAGAAATATGTATCCAATGATACGTTATGCATCGTATCTTGAATTAGCATATTTTTCATAGTAAAGCAGCAGGTTGCAATACCAAACTTTGGCTTAATTTGAAAAAGTTAGGAAGCTCCAGGATGGTAGATTAGATGGGAAATAAAATAAGAACCCTCTCCACCAGATAAAAGCATTGAAAAACCATTTGCAGATTGAGGTTTAAAAAAAAATTATGTGATCATTAGAAACCAAGCTCAATTTTAGCAAAAATTTGAGCATCATATATATTTTCATTGTGCAAAGGGATCCACCAGTTGGGTTGGCTTACTACACCAAGTTAATAACCAGAGAAGGATAGTTACTGAATTTACAGCCTTATAATTGCTTATCTTCTTATCTTTATGTTTTTATAGTCCTGGCTATAAGCCATTTTTAACCATTATCAAGCCACAACTGCAGAAGCTGAGTGAGATATCGGAGGAGCAGGTGCAGCAGGAAGCCTTTCAGTCTGCAAATCTGTCAAGGGTGGCTGAACAAGCCAGTCCAAGGGCAGAGGAGAACCGGATTTCAACTAACCACAGCACTAGTCCTCAAAGTGACACTGGTCCTAATACTTCAATTCGACCTGATGAGGACATGATTGGATTGGAAAAGGAAGACCATCCCCTTCAGGAAGGCAGTTATGATTGTACTGTCTCCTGACAGCATCGAACACGATAACGGTTTTAGTAAAGCTTCATAATGATGGCATTGAGGAATACTGTTTTTGGAAGGAAGTACAGTAATCATTTTCCCCAAAAAAACATATGTTTAGTTTTGCTTTGTTTCTGTTTTTAATGAATACTTTTTTTTTACATGACTAGAGAATTTCCTTGAATTTGTGAATGCTTTCCCAGTAACTTCCTCAGTTCTTTTGTTGATCTGATTGTATGAAAAGTAGCAATATTCATCTGTATTCCAAGAAGATTTATTTGAAGCTCTTGTAAAGTCTTTCTCTATTTTCCCTTAATCATGCAGAACATCTACTCCGTATCACTGTATATGATCTTTATTGCATTTTTTAAATGAAAGAAAAAAAAATCTTGGAGACCATTCTAAGATTTACCCATCTGCACCATTCCCCAACCCAATTTTTGAACCAAAACTTGAACAAGTTGACAATGAAGCTTGCTGGGATGAAATGTTGGTGCATTCTGTGTAGTTTAATTGCCTAAAAGAAATGATGGCCTGATTAAGCTAAATTCTGTTCTATAAATTATGCAGGTATCACAAATTTGACATCACCAAATACTATATATATATAAAAATTGTAAAATACATTGTATCTTTTGTGAATACTCTTGTATATTTTCAAGTTTACTGTTTATGCTTTTGCTCCACAGTGTAGGGTAGCTTTATCTTGCATGTTTGTACTTTTAACTCCAGGAAAACTAAAAGTAAAATTGCACTTCTATCAGAATGCAACTGACTTTCATCTGGCATTATTTGCAGCTTCATTTCATCATTTAGTCTGTTCAGATCCATTCTAAGCAAAAATATTTTACATGAATTACTGAATTCTTATTTATTTCAATTGTAAAGATGCTTTCCTCAAGATTATTTTTGTGTAAATAAAGACCAATTTATATATTACTGCTATTAAGACTTTGTAATGGCAATGTACAGTGTATATATTAAAGCTACCATCTTGCTAATATTTTATAATGCATACACTTGTAACTAAAAATGTTTATTTTAACTTTCATACAACAATATTATGAAAAACTGGTTGCAGCAGAATCTCATGTTTGCTTGAGGTACTTATTTTTTTCAATCTGCTGACTCCAGATTGGTATTATAAATACTGGTGTGTAATATTAAATACCTGTAACAGTATTAAAATTTAAATATTGTATGGCTTGTATTGTGCAGTTGGGGAAAATGCAACACTACTACTTTTTCTACTGAAACCTAACACTTATTTTTATAATATGGGTGTAATTAATACATACATGGACCAAAATCATTTATCTTTTAGGTAGTATGAGAATCAGCATCAGCCACAGTCAAAGTTCATGAAATTCTCCTTGTGAATTCTGAATGAATATATTATGAACAGTCAAAAAAATTGCTTCCTTACCTTAGCAAATTGAAGGTGAGTCTTGGTCTTCAACTCCCAGAATTCTCGGCAATGGTTATATTGGCTGTGGAACTCTGGGAGTTGAAGTCCATATAACTGGAATTTGCCAAGTTGGGAAACCCGGTTAAGAGGGTCAGCAAAAAAAAAATACTGGTTATGACTTTATATATTTGCTTAGAAAGGCATGGTGATGTCTTTTTATTGATAAATGTAATTATACAGTTTTTATTGCTGTTGTGTAACCTTTACTGTTGGTAAGACTATAAGTAGTAATACATGTGCAATAACTTTTAAATAAAATATAAAGGGGTGGAAATGACCTAATTTTTCCATACTGCTGACATTGTATTTTGTCTACCATCATGGGTATAAAAACTGTCACTTTTCTTATATCAGAAAGAAGAAGCACTACTTTTCTATACTGTAGTATTGAATATATTAATAAGCTATTACCACCACAGCATTAAGGACTACACTGCTGTGGTTCCAGCCTAAGCAGCTTGTTTTTTTTCTAACAACATTCATCACATGCCTTATTTCCAGTGCTCTTAATTCTGTTACTCTCAATAAACCCTTTTCACACCTCTACAATGGGGACATTGTCCTACTTTGGAAGTTAAGCAGGTTCCTTATCTTACTTGATACCTGCATAAGAAAACTGATGCTGCCCTGAAAGCAGAAATATTCCCAATTCACCAGCATTTCCCTCTGAATAAACTGCATAATGCTATTAAAATTGAAGGAGGTTAAATAGTTAAATTTATGATAAATACAGGAGAAAAAACATCCCACATTTGGTGTGCAGCAGATCTAAAATTGCATAGAAACAGCTAAGAATAGAATAGAATAACAGTTGGAAGGGACCTTGGAGGTCTTCTAGTCCAACCCCCTGCTTAGGCAGGAAACCTTACACCACTTCAGACAAATGGATATCCAATCTCTTCTTAAAAACTTCCAGTGTCGGAGCATTCACAACTTCTGGAGGCAAGTTGTTCCACTGATTAATTTTTCTGTCAGGAAATTTCTCCTTAGTTCTAAGTTGCTTTTCTCCTTGATTAGTTTCCACCCATTGCTTCTTGCCCTGCCCTCAGGGGCCTGGGCCATTGTCTAAAGCTCCAGTTCAAGGGGAATGTCCAATAGTCTCCTTCATTGGTACATTGATGATCATAAATGGAGTGTTTTCTCCAGTTTAAAGGAGAAACTGAGTCACAGTTGTTTTTTTATAATGGAATGAGATCCACACACACAAGACTGTTCCACTGGACTTCAAAGCAATAGGGTTTTAAACACAATTCTTCCTGTTGCTAGGAGACAGTGCAAGGCCTGTTTTTTGCACCTGCTTTCTCTCCAAGCAACCAAATGATGAGAATGGGGAAAGATTCAATTTAGCTAATAGATTAAGCAGTAAAGACTTTTCATCTAAATCTGATGGAAGAAATTACTGTGGCATGCATATTATTCGCTTTGTTGAGGAAGGAATTGCCATTGATTGGAAAGAATACAACTGCCTGGTCTAGTAAGGAGGTGGTACAATTATTTGAAGTAGGGAACATTCACCTTTCTGCTGACTTCAAAACTGAGTGCTGATCGTAGAATTCCTGCGATTCAAAATCTTACTGACAAAAAGAGTACTGCCATTCTGCAATTGTACCAGTCAGCTAATGCAAGAAGCAAAAAAAAAAAAAAAGGGGGCACTCTTCCCACTCTTATTCTCTGACCTAGTTGGTAACAAGCCATGTGAGCAGTTTAAAATTCAAATTTAGGAAGGGAACTGAATATTCAGATAGGTTTATGTCTTGCCTTTAACAATAGTAGTCAATAAATCTTCAGTGGAGTGGCAGTTCTATTATCTGGATAGATTTGAAGTTCTCAATCCCCAGACATTTACCTTATATTTCTCTCCCTAATTAATTTTCTTAAATGTCCATTTAATAATATTCTCTTGATTCCTCCCTGCACTCACTACCTTTGATATAGTGGATCACAGTTGCTTCAGAGTCATTCCCTTAAGGTCTCAGGTTTCATGACAAAGCTCCTTGCTGGGTTGTTGTTTTTTTGCTGCTCTCAACTTTATTTAATGCTTCTATTGGTTATTATTTCAGTGTCTTAGTCTTGTCTCCCTATAGATGTCATCCTCTGCCCAATTTCATTGTCTCCTCTCCTCTGAAATAACTGGCCTTCTATATAGACTCCTGTGCCTATTTGTTTTTCTTCCACAAATATAACACAGGTATATGGTACCATCACTTTCTTTCCAAAACCAATTATCATAATTTTGGAGCTTTATTTCTGTATTAAATATGGGCTGAGTAATTTTAAGCCAGTCATGCTTTCTCAGCCCAACTCACCTCACAGGGATGTTGTGGGAACAATAGGAAGAGTTAGCTGTATTGGATGTGTTTAGCATCTTTAATTTCTTATAAAGTAAGAAAGGTGGGATAATAAAATCAAATATCTGCAGCTGTTTGTCCACACCTTTCCATCCCCACATGCCCTCTTTCCTCATATAGATAGATTTAGATCTATGTATTTTAATTGCCATATGTGTAGATTGTGCTGAAGAGGTTATTTTCAACATCAATTGAAAAGCTGAGGCATGTGTAATTTAATTAGTCAGGAATGATTTGCTTCCTTATCCAATTTTAACATCTCTGTTTTGCGTAAACCTAACAAACCAGTTGCTAAGAATGGGTATTTACCTGGAACTCTTTTCATTAAAATAATGTCACTTAATACAAATTAATTTTATATGCCTGCCTTTTTTCTATTTCTGATATTGTGATTCCATGTGCCACCATATGTAGCGCTGTGCAGATGAACTAAAGTCCCAACTTCTAACCCTCCGACTAGTATGATGACTGATATTCCATTTGCCTGAAGGTTTCAGGATTAGGCAGATTGCTACATTTTCTGACCTGGGAATATGTTTATTGAACTCCGTGGGACTTCTAGTTGGACTTGTGTTACCAATGCACACTTTTGGACAACAGGTGAAAATTTCTAGACAGGCGATAGCATGCTTATGAACACTAAACTAAAGCATAGATCTGCACTGTCTGTTACATACAAGGAATCTAAAACTATACTTTCATCATTGTTTCTCAATCTTGGCAACTTTAATACATGAACCTCAACTCCCTGAATTCCCCAGTCAGCGTGCTGGGGAATTAACACAAACTTAAGGCCACTAACATTAAGAAACACAGTATTAATTATAAAGATTTGTCAAGTCAGCAATTTAGAATACAGTAAGCTTTCAATTCCCCCCCCCCCAAATTCATGATGACATCCAGAATTTGTACCATGCTTTTTACAAATAGTAACAATATAATATAGGTTATAAATAAATGCAGTATAGTCAACAACAGCAAATGTGATAAAATATATTTGTTAAAATGCAGGAATTAACAGAAAAAAGAATGCATACTATTTGTGCTATCTTAACATTCAAATGGTTAGTGGACTTTTTATATGCATTTACAAAAGATTGGCTCTACCAACTCCCACACATGTGCCATTATGTGATACATGTAATGTATTACATTACAACATTACATGTATTGATGTATTATTTCACCTATAGTTTTTTGCTTTGTCTTGGTTTTGTTGAACAAAGAAATAACCAACACCTAAGGTTCTGATAATAAACTTTTGAGTTTCCTAGTCTGGAAAGTCAGCTGCTATTGGACAATGGAGGAAGTAACAGATTTTCAATAATACAGGTAATCATCAAGTTATCAATGTAATGGAGCCTGCCCATTCCATTCTTAACCCAAGGATTTGTGGGAGTAAATCTATACCGTGAACATGATCACTCCCTCCTTTTACCTATGCATTCATTAATTGAATGTGTGGTTTGTCAAATACACATGAGGTATCTCAGGGTGGGGAAGGCCATGGGGGTGGGGGTAGTGATGGAACAGGCCACCTGCTTCAGACCACCGAAAGCTTCCCCCAACTCACAGATACCTCATTCTCTCTCCCCTGGGGTCCCCACAATTGTTCCCCCCACATCCTGCCATGCTGGGTGACTTACTTTATGAAGATCTGTCTCCTCTCCAGCCTGTTTCTTTGCCTGCTTCTTCCTTTCTCATCAGCAAAGGGCTTGACAAGGTCTCCGGTGATGAAAAAGGAGGGTTGCGTGCAGCCTTCCAGGCCTCCTTTCTCACTGGAGAGCCGCTTGACAAAGCCTCCAGTGATAAAAAAAAGAAGGCCGAGGGTCCTTTTTCGTGACCGGAGGCCTCATCAAATGCATCTCTGGAGAAAAAGGAAACCCGGAAGGCTGCGCGCAGCCCTTTGGACCTCCTTTCTCATCAGCAAAGTGATTGAGGATTACGTCCCTTTAGGCTTTGGGAGCCCTTTTCAAAGTCTTTGCCAGTAGGAACAGAGCTTTGGAGGAATCCACCCTCTTCTCACAAGCTCCGCTGGTGCCAACAAAAGCTTTTTGCAAAGGACTGCCAAAGCCTACAGGAATGCAATCTCCCTGTAGGCTTCGGCAAGAAAACGGCAAATAGAGGGAAGGCCTGAAGGACCAAAGCCTTCCCTCTGTTTGCAAGTGTCCAGGCCTCAATTCACAAGACAACAGAGGCCTAAAGTGCGAGGTTACATGAGATCAGTAATGCAAGATCTCATGCTACTAATCTTGCATGATCTTGCGGCATGTTAGGTCTGTTATCTGCGAATGCACTGAAAGCCTGAAGCAATGAAGCAGGCAAAGAAAGCATGACAGAGAGGAGATCTTCTCATGATGAGTTACCACAGGCGAAGTGCCTGTGGCTTGGGGGTGGGGATAGGCAGGGTGAATGTTATAGAGCCTCTGCAGGCATTCATAAGAGCAAACTGCCATGGTTCTGCAATATTCATTATTTCGGGACTTGTTCGTAAATGCTAGGGGGTGCTTATCATGTAACTTCAAACATTCACTAAGGGAACACTCGTAACCTGGGGACTACCTGTTAGGAATATAAGTCACCTAACAGTTATTTGGGTTGGAAAATATATAAACCAGGATAGACATTTTAATACTGCCTCTTTAAGGGAATGCTAAAAGTGTAATTGGGTGTGGTTTCTCAAATGGCCATAAGATGGAGCCAGAAACTTGGGTTGTTTAGGCTTAGTCTCAGAAGAGAGTGTGTCTCAGTGAGTCCTTCTGTTTCCTTCTGTTGGAGAGTTTTGCCGTTCCTTCTAATTGACTGTTATTCATGGATTTGATGTAAGTCTGTTACTGAACTGTTTATGATACTGTACTTTGTTATTGGATTATCCCTGGACTGAAAACTGACTGATTTTACCTGCGAATGACTTTGGACTGCTTATCTTGAACTTTGCTTAAAT